TTGCTACCTTAAATTTCGCAACTACTGTCAGTTACAACTTGTAGATTAGGTGGAGCCCAATTCTGTAGTAAAACATACTGAGTCAAGTATTAACACGTATACTAGTAATAATAATAATATAGTAAGGAAGCCATTACATTTATTCATATAAACAATCATATAAATCATATAAACAATCTCAAGACATTAGAAAGACCAGATATTCGTTTATAGAAAAGTAGGAATATGGGCTCTAGGAATATGGCAATAAATCAGTCTAAATTGTTCACAGAAATTAGATTGCACCAGGCTATAGCTCAGTAAAACTACTGTGACCTTGACTACATTTACTTGTATATAGATTTCCAATAACTCTATCTACAGCTATTAACAAGAATAAGATAATATTTCATATCCTGGAGCATCATTTGGCTCACAATCTCAGTATTTCACAACCTAAAGGGGGCGCTGTTTCTATCTTATTTACACAGCTGTTACTCTGTGTTTCCACTTTAAAACGCTAGACTTTGCAGGTTTATCTTCCCTCAAACACGATAGTAAGGTTTAAAAACTTCTGACCCTGAGGTAATCTTTGGACAGCAGATATTTGGCAAAGCAATGGAACAAACCAACCCAGTCCTCCATTGGATAGACACAACCACACCTGCCATTTGCGTCACCAGTCCGGGAAGAGTTTTTTTTTTTTTCTCTGGGTACATGGTAACTTCCTAGTTCTATGATGAAAGCTTGGGGGGAGTCCCAAAGTGAAAATATGGCCCACGTGGTTGCCATTCAGATACTTGAAGCAACTATTGAATGTAGTAATGCAGGGAAATCTACAAATTGCTCAGTTTGAACTGTTTGTTCTGAATTTTATGTACTTTAAGTCCTTTTATACTGTGTTTTTATTTTAGCTTTGTTACTGCCATTAATTTAAGAGACAATTGAAACTTTTTAAAGCTCTTTAAGTTTTCATTTTGTCCCAACATATCTACAATTACAATGACGTCTTAAGTTAACTTTCTATATTTTGGTAGTATTGCTCACATAATGTTGAATGTAGGTAAACTATGTAAACATATGATATTATTTAAATAAATGTATTGTTTACTTACACAAATAGTGCAATGCCAGTGTTGGCCATGGCGTACGACAGTCCGAGGATCCCACTGCCCATGATAGCATTTCCCAGGTTGAATACTGACATGCCAAAAGAGGCATTGCCCTGATGCTGTGGAATAAAAACATAATATTGATATGAATTTATTTGAACAAAACAAGAATAAAAAACAGACTATGGAGCTAAAGATATCTACTCAAAAAAATCAACAAATAATACATGGATAGACTTACATATTCTGTCTCATACTTCTTCTTTCCTTCAGGAAGAAAGTTCTGAATTTCTGCTTCTAAGTCTGAGCTGTAAGGGCTGTAAACAACATTACAAAAACACGTTTAGTTTTCTATCTGTTTGGTTGATTTGGTTGTGTCTTGCTAATACTGCGGTAGTTTTGTCTCACCCTCCCAGTGGAACTTTCTTGTCCTGGTACTCGTAGTCATTGCTGTTACTGCTGGAGTTGTCATCTTCTGGATAAGCGTTCAAATGGTTCATCTCTGTGGGTTGTTTCATTCTGCAAAGTAAAAATGAAAAAAAAAAATATATAAACCTGCTACCAAGTCTGAAGTCGAGACTGTTGTTCTGAATCATCATCAAGGTGAAAAAATACAAAAATAACATCAAACGCATTCCTGTGCACCTCTCTGTTCTTTTCTGTTGATTTATTTATAACAATACTATTTTAGATCCATTTTGTATTTTGGCAGTGACTGAAATGAATATTGAAAGACAGTTTTTGGCTTAATATTGAGGTGGCTCAAAGCAATGTGGTAGAGAAGCTTTTTTCTTGAGCAATTCCTTTCACACTTACAGAGAATTATAATAAAATTGTAATTTGCTATGTATGTATCTCGACGTATTAAATATAATCAAGGTTAAGTTCAGTTTATGGTCGGTCTGAACATCCTCCCTGTGCAGTTATTCTTCAACCTAGTTCTCGACATGTAGGTATGTAGGCTTGGTGTTTCTCGTCATTCGCCAAAGCAAACCATAGAAAAGACCTAAAAATCGCAAACATAAGGAAGGAATATAAGTAAATGTAAGGAAGGGAATTGCTCCAAGGAAACAATTCAAATAGCGTCCACGTTTTGGTCTTTTCTTTTGTTCTTTTTTTTCAGCATTTTGAAGTTACATAAGCCTGATTTATGACTGCTCGTTCACGTTTGAGATCATTAATATTGACAGAGTAGGTTTTCAAACGTCTTATTAAAACAATACGCACATGCATTCTCACTGTTTGTCCTATTTTTTTATATATATATATAAAATGTGCATCTTTATTTTTATGAGCCAAGCTATATTTTATTTATTTGTTTATTTTACAACTGGGGTTGAACCAGAGAAATATGTAGGTGTGTAGGTGTTTTACGCACAACATTCTCTTTTATACCTTCATATTTCCTTTTAAACAAACCAATACAATTCCTTCCCGCCCATTTCAAAACACATTGTAGTTTCCATTTCGCCCTCAACGCGTTTGTTTCCTTTTGTGCTCGTTCACGCGCACAAACCATCAATATTTGAGGCAGGAGCGCGCGCCAAACGCTCTTCTGTAGCGCATGTGTCACGTGACGCGCAGCTCTCAGCGCGAGAGGGAGGGGGGAGAAAGAAGAGGGGGGAGGTTCACCGGCTCGAGTGGAAAAATACCAGAAAGCCGGCATCTCTTCCCCAGACAGCCCCATGCAAACGCGCAGTGACAAAAGGTTGCGCACATGTCACGTAATAATAACTTGTGGACATTTTTCCGCTGGAGTCTCTTTCCCATTGTTCATAATCGACAGTGACAAACGACCTATATCCTTTTAATGACATTATAGGAGTCACCGGCCCAATGGAAACAAAGGCACGTGTTGGCAGTCCGTATATGTTCAACTCTCCCATAGGATCTTGACTCATTCAAGACAAGTCAATACTTCTCCATGTACAAATGCCAAATACCGGTTCAGTGACTACTTATGAAATCCATTTGTTTAGCTGGGTTTGGCTGGGAAACGTTCAGTAGAAGCCACATCACCAGTGTCACACGCCTCTTCATTATTTATTTATTTCAAACAGAGATGACCTCCCAAAGAAACGCCCGAGGAAAAAGAAGAAACTCAATAAAACCAATTTAACACGGAAGACAACAATAAAACATTTTCCCACGAATAAAATAGCAACACAGTTAACATTAAACTCAGAATATTTCCCATTTCTTGTGCTGTCATTAACTACTAAAGGTTGTACAGGAAACAATGCAGGCATGAGTCACAGACAGAGTCCTAATTTCAAGCATAAAACATGGATTAAATGATATTGCGCTATTGATCAGAACACGTGAGACGGAACATTTGCCATTCATAGCAGATTAAAACTTCAATTGTTATAGTTTTAAAGGATAGTCAAGGACCAGTAAACCAGTAGAATTCCAACTATGCAGGCACGAGGTCATAAAAGCTTAATTGTTACACGCCTAATCCGCCTTTACGCACAGGACAGCAGTTGAACGGACGCTGCAATTAGCCAAAGCTTTCACTAAAGAGTTCATTAGCACATATCAGAAGTTACCAGTGTAATTTAAAATAAAATGTCCGATGAGAAAGCTGCTGTTATTTCCTATGTCGTAAAAGCCAAATGGCGTTGAATGAAAGTGCCACCTCTGCCGGCAAATGTGACAGACTGACGGTAAATGAACAGGAACCGGCGTGGGGTCCTTACCTTAAGAAAAAGACGAATCCTTTCTCCAAAAAAAAACAGAAGAGGTAACACTTAAAAGCTGTCCAGGCAATTCAGGTCTTCCAAAAACGTTTTATCCTTGTAAATATTTGGTTAAAAGTCAAAAATGAATGGAAAAAAAACTGTAGCGAAAAGATGTCACTCAATAAAAAATCGTATTCAAATCGAGTTCTATAGAAATTAAAAAGATGAAAAGCAAATTTAAATGATTGGTGTTTTAAGTCAATGGGCGCTTTTTGGTAAAGAGATGCGTAGCGAACAGTTTGAGGAAAATGCTCTGCCGGAAGAGGGGTGCGCCTGGGTTTATAAAGATGAGCATTGCATCAGCCTCAGTGCACAAGAGGCTCGGAGGAGAGGGAGGGACATAGAGGCGGAGTTTGCCGTGAAGGGGCGGGCCAGTGGAAGTTTTACTCACGGAACCCTGACGTGGTTTTGTGTACAAACAGAGGCCTGCTGCTGAGTGACCCACTGCGCTAGGCTCTCCCTGATGGAAACCAGAGCGTACAGACACGAGGCATTTACCAGGTACAGCCAGTACAGACAAAGAACAACGTGGTCTGGTATGACATAGGCATATTACTAGATAATCAAATCAAATAAAAAATAGCTAGATGTATTTAACAAAGGTTTAACAAAAGCGACTCTAAATTATTGTGTATGCAAAAAAGTAACATATTTGTAGGTTTTGTTGGTTGCAATAGCACATCAGATATTAGGGGCATTCAACTTTTTGTTACAAATATAACAAAATATGACGGCTATGGATAGGGCTGGGTCTCATTAAGAAGTTGCCAATACGATACATACCTTGATACAGTACACTTTTGATTTGATACGGTATATTAAAAATAGATTCAATATGGTTCAATAAAAAATAAAGTCTAAATCATGACTGGATACTAAAAGTCTTTGTTAAACCACTTCTTGTGCAAAGTTAATATGAAACACAAACATTTTAATCATCAAAACAGTGAAAATGTCAAATGTGTTGCATAAACAAGTTTCCTTCCTCTAAACAAGCAACAAAATTGTAGCGCTGTAACAAAATAATTTAGTAAAACATACCAAAAAATACTCTTGATATATTGATACAGCAGCCCACGATATCGATATTGTATCATCACATTAAACAATACAATATATTGATATTTTGATATTTTGTACACTCCTAGTTACGGACTAATTTCACCACCACCGATTACACAATTACAGAATCACAAATGAAATGTCTTGCCCAAGGACTTAGCAGCACTATAACTTATAAGTGGGATTCAAACTACCAACCTTCATGTAAGCTCTTGCTATTTTAAACCATGTTCACACTATCAACCCCATATGTTGTCTGTTGGATCATTTATACTATTTATCATGTCATTTTGTGGGTCTGTAGGTTGGAAAGGCTTGGAAACCCCGGTTGTAGAATGCTTCTCCTTGTACTGGTGAACTAGTCTTATATAACATAAACCACAGACATGTGACTAAATGACCTTGAATTCACCGCATTCATCGATAGAGACCCTCCATCTGTATCAGGTCTGGTCTCATGGCTTTCTCCTCGAGGAACGCTTGGATTTCATAAGAACGAGCTGTGAATATATAATGACTGAAGCATAATTGGGAGTAGATCAAACCGCCCGGGCAGGTGTTGGCTTTGCCTGGAGTACAGTATGGCATTAAACTTATCTATCTCCATGGACACAAGCAGGGCCAAGCTACACGTCAGGGGTGTGGAGAGGCGAGCCAGCTCACGCAGAAAGCATGATGCATCAAGGAGCAATAATAAAATTGACTGAAATTTGTTTTATTAGTTTCTATGATAATGTCTCAGAACTAGAGGGCTCAACCCCAACCACCTTGTTCCTCCTGTCTCTGACCACTGATGGAGGAAGTACTCAATTTTGTTGCCTGAGCAAAAAATACTCAAGTAAAATGATCAAAATCTACTCAAGTAAAAATATTAAAGTACCCATTTGAAAATGTACTTAAAGAGCGAAAAGTAATTACAGTACTTTAATAAATTTTACTTTGTTACGTTCCACCACTGTCTGAGTAAATGTGAGATATGATATTTTGAAGTTCTTCCAGTAATTAGAGGTGGAAAATAAATTACTGTGCAGGCCTATATATATACTAGTATTATCATTGATTTCCTTTTAGTTTGTTTCAAGTTAATTGTAAAACGCAAATTCTACTTTTCTCCTGTAAACTGTCTGTGAACTCAATTTGAATGGCTTGATTTGCATTGTTGTTTGATTAATGCAAAATACCTAAAGAGGAAGGGTTATACAATAATATGAAAAATACATTATAATGAGTTGTATGCTGTACTGCCGAACCTTCTCTCCCTGATCTTCTCATTTTGATCTTAAACTTTTTTAAAGTGTCCTGATTTCTGTGTCAGTTCAGATCAGAGGATGTGGACAGGTTCAAAGCAGACCTCACAGACTTTAGGAGATTACAAACCCAACGCTTCTGTCATGTGACGGACGGTGGCCATTTTGCTCTGGTTCTCACACTTGGGTCGAGTTTCAGGGTCAGGTGTCCTCTGGCTCTGTGAACTTTTCCGCTCATGTTTTGTTGATGAGGCCATTGTCACTGAATTAGGCTTTCATCGTGAACAGGTCTGTATGATGCAACTAATACTACAACTTTGCAACTTTTGACGATACTGGTCATAAAGATACTGCTTTTGTTTATGTATGTAGTTGTCATTGCATTGTTTGAGTTACTAATTGACTTCTTTTCAAAATCAAATGACTGTAATTTTTAAATGGCTCAAAGATTAATCACCAACTATTTCCATAATATTCAATTTATCAAGAAACTGTGTGTAATATTATGTTTTATTCAATAAGCATAGCCTTAAAATGGGACAATGGAGCTCATGTTCCAACAGACGCCTACAGTGAGAGTTACAGGACAACATTCATACCATACTCCATGCAACTTTACAACTCACCCTTTCATAGATAATAGATGTCATGCCAATCATCATTTCATCTTTGGACTGTTTCTCCTTATAACCTCTTGTATCTACACTCAAAAGTTTCAGAACACCCTAATTTTTCCAGTTATTTATTGCAATTCAAGTCGTGAAAGTCCAATGAAGAACTTGAAATGGTACAAAGGTAAGTACTGAACAGTCAGGTTAAAAAAAAGATAAAAGATAAAAAACACAAGTCCAAGTTCTGCCAAAACTACCTCAGGAAAAAAGAACAAGATGTTAAGCTCGAAAACAGGGAGTAGCCAGCTCAGTCTCCAGATTTAAACCCCATCGAGCTGGTTTTTGGATGCACTGGACAAAAGAGTGAAAGTCAAGAAACCTACACGTGCCACACATTCACAGGAATTTCTGCAGCAGACTTGGGAAGAACTTTCTGAAGAATATTTGATTTCTGTTTGGAAAAGAACAAGCCACGAGTGTGTTCAGCTGTTACATCTGCCAAAGGTGGACACTTTCATGAATCAACAGTTTAGAATATGCTTTGGTCAACAGTAAACAGTAAAAAAAAAAAAAAAAGTGTGGTATTCTAAAACTTATGACCGGTACTGTAGCTGAGAGGTATTTCTATAATTATGCCTTATTTGACACCAGTCTCTTGCTATTTTTGCCACTTATTTTGAGTTTATTATTACGATTTATATTGTGGCTCTTTGTTATTGTTATATATTGTAATTTGTGAGCTCCTGTGTCCATATCATTCCCTCTTGAATCAATAAAGTTGGCCTACCTCATTGAATTATGCTTTACTTCCACATATGCGAAATACAATAACGCATGGATTGTGTTTCATACTTCAAAGCTGTTTAAATACATGTTTTTTGTTTACAAAACTTTCAAATGCTTTATCTTGAAGAAACATAAGGGTGGACTTGGACTGGGAAAACAGATCTCTGCATTTTGCCCATCTTTTTAATATGATTTGATGGTTTGTGAGAAAAAACACCAGATATTGTGTCAGGGCCCATGCTCAGTACCTATCGCTGGAGGACTGGTGTATGTTTAAGATCAGTTTGTGTTCTTCAGTATGTCAGGAAGTACATGAGTCCCCCTACAGGTCAAGGACTTGCAGTATATCAGAAAACAGCATCATGTAGAACCTTTAATCTTCCCGCTATGTTAAAATATCTTTGGTGTGAAGTTTTCGAACCACTGTTAAACTGTTAGGTAAAACTTGGATTGAGAAAATTACCATATATAAACAGGGTATTTTGTAGGCATACTGTAATTTTTTTTAAATTTTTCTTAATTGCACTCTGATAGTAACTCAAACAGTTTCCATCAGTATCATTTGGAAGTCATATGTACAACAATGGGATTTTTCAAAGTACTTTTCTGAATGGTGAGCTGTGAATGAGCCTGACCTGGCCGATGAAAATGTCAGTTTGAAATAAAGAGATCTTTCTTCTGCGTCTCATTATGTAACGTCATTATGTTTTTAAACTCTCTAAAATGTTCATGACCCCCACCCCTCCTTCATCCCCACACATTCATTTTAGCTCTGTGATCTTGTGACTGTTTGAATTGCACTCTGCTGCATAATGCCTCAGGTCTACACAAAAAGTTGGGTTGCATTTTTAAAGTGGACCTATTATGCAAACTCGACTTTTCAGAGCCTTTAACCATAGTTGTAGTTGTTTCCACATCTCATTTACCCTTTTGAAGTCATGTTTGGAGTTATTCATGCATGTAGAAATCTTTAATCAGTTAATTTAAAGACAACATATTGACGAACAATCCTAGTTTTTCCTTCGTTCTCCAATTTTGTTTTGTGAACAGGAGATACTTTAAAAAAAGATCTGCTACTCTCTAACTTGATGTGCAGCTATCCATAGGAGCCGATGACTTCATGGCTCTTTGTTTTGATGACAATTACGACAACGCTGACGTAAACGGAAAAATTGCACCAACACACACACAAATCACTCCAAATGCATCTTCGAGTGGGTAAATGAGAAGGGAAAACAACTGTAATGTGGTTAAAAGTTCGATTTTGCATAAGAGGTCTGCTTTAACATAATTGCACCTTGTTATCTGGCCTATGAGAGGTTACAATACCCCCTACAATGGAACACTTTTGCAGTGTATTGATTAATCATGCCTCCAGACCCATACCGATCGTAAATAAACTTATATTGACATTTCATCATTCCCGAGTGACGTGATTGTGCTTAGAATGAATAAAAAAGGCCATTGTCACGATTAGTAGGCAATTTTCTTTGCTTACAATGCAGCTCAACCTAACCTTCCGTCAGTGCTGATTTCATTAATTTAAAAGTGCTTTTC